TAGGTCTCTGGATGAGGGAGCGCTACCTTAAAGAGCGCCGGAACCCCGTAAAACTGGAACTGAACGCGGGGGTTTGTGCGGTTATTTTGGGGAAAGCTGGCGTGTAGAGCTGGAGGCAGAGAGATAAACGCCACCGTCCCCTCATACGGATCCTTATTGATATAAATCTGCAATAAAAAACACAAGAACAGCAAAAATCACACAACTGAACTCACAAATGACAGCTGTTCAATTCTCAATGTTCTTTAAATATCGTCAAAAATATGCATCTCTATTTTTATCAAGTTTTATTTTTCTACAACATTTGAACACGATGACTGTCCTTTACACTGTGTGGACATTTCATGATGAATGAACGAACAGAAATGCTTTAAATAAAATCTCCTACGTTACAAGTTAAGAGTGTTTTGTGCTCCACTCTAAACTCACCATTCTGGAGATACTTGTTTTTCTTTGGACAGCGAGGATTTGCATCCATAGCAGGTTTGAAATTAACATTTAATACTAAAGTGTGAGAAAATGTGGCATTGGTTATAACCATTTATAATTTTTTATTAGATATTATTATTATTTATTAGATAGTTATTAGTATTATTATTAGCATATGAGTTTTATTAAATGATAAAGCACTTTTCTAGGTAATCTATCCTGTATCAGCAATTTCATGTTGTATGTTACTGTTATCGTGTGTTTAGAGTGACGTGTACGTCTGACATAGATTAGATTTATATTAACATTATGTTTATGTGCAGGAAGGTATATATGAGTTTTTATTAGATGATATTTCATTCATATGCTTCATTTCCTTAACTGGACTGTTGACAGCAATAATCGCCTGGTACTGTACTGTGCTGTAGATGGTTCTATATAGAACCTTGTTGAAATGGGTTTTATATGGCACTAACAAGGTTTCTACTATTGTTACAATATCAAGCTTATATCAATAGAACACTGAAAAAAATGTGTTTTTCCAAGGGTTCTTTAGTAAAGACAGTGGTTCTATATAGAACCATGAACATTCAAAGTTGCATGGTGAACATGCAACGGGTTCTTTGAGTGCTCATGGGTTCATATAGAACCATTTTCTTTACTAAAGAACTTTTGAAGAACCATTTTTAAGAGTGTAGCACCAAAAAGTGTTCTTGTATTGTTAAAAGGTTGATATCATAACAATATAAGAACCCTTTTGGTGCTATGTAGAACCATTTACAACACATTCTCCAACAATCTGAAGAACCGTTTCACCATGCAAAGAATCATTTAGGCATGTAAATGGTTCTTTGAGTGTTTGTGGTTCTATATAGAACCATTGTCTTTACAAAAGAACCTCTGAAGAACCATTACAGAGTACAGGTTCAGAGTTCTAGAACTATTTGTCAGTTAGTGTGTTAAAGTATATGAACAGTGGTATATATTAATATTCTTTAAGCTGACAGTGACGGTGAACGGTGGCCGTGTGTACCGTTGGATATGGACCGTCATTCACTGAAGTGACTCCAAATGTCAGATTGTGGACGTTTTCAGGGTCAACACTGACCACAGACAGGGCCAATGCTGGAGCCACAACACTGACCGACTCTCCACTGAAATCTGACATTTTGTCTCCAACTGTGTCTGTAATATTCAGGATGCTGAAATCAGAAGAGTGAGTGATCAGGAGGTTAAACGTCAGATACACATACACACAAACACCCTGTTCAGATGTAAACAGAGCGGTTCAGAGCGGTTCAGAGTGGTTCAGAGAGGTTTGGTGTGAAACGCTCTGTTCTAGATAAACCTACCGAGTCAGAACTGTTCACAGTGGTGGTGATAGGAACCAGACGTCCACCTCTAAAAGCTCCCTCACAGAAAGTTCCTACATGAAATGGTTATGAATTCACTGCCTGATGACTGAGACACTGTTTTATGATCGTTTAGAGAACTTAAACTCCATTCATGGTGGAGGGATACATGCAGGGCGCTGTGAGGCCAAATAGTCCCCAAAGAAAACTTATTATTTCAGATTTTCCACTATTTTCCATCATCAACATTCCATATAAACTCAGAAGACTCGTGTAGGTTCACTGGTGGTTCTGGATAGTAAATAAAATGTCTATATGTGTGTTGTAGTCATGGCGACCCCTGGTTCCTATCACCACCACTGTAAAGACATCTGAACCATTTCACACCAAACCATTCTGAATACATCTCAATCACTGAATTATGGGGGAATTTTAAAAAATGGTTGAGTTCCCCTTTAACATGATTAAAGAAACGCTCTGGTGTTTTTTCAACCTAAACTTCTAAAGTGAATCACCTCACTCACTCGTTAGTGAAGGGCTGCAGGTCACTCTTTGAGTTCAAGATGTTGGACATGATGCTGACGATGACCTCAGCGAGGGCAGGTGTCACCGCGGTGATGTTCAGCACTTCCTGCAGCTTGGTTAGCACTGTTTGCAGGTCACACTTATCCAGAGAGTCATGCTCTTTCAGTAGGTCCACAATCATCTGCAGGACATCCTCAGCGGTGTCTGTAATGGGGATGGTGGGGGGGGGTTGGGTACTGTGACTTTATCCAAGTTGTACACTAACAGACTTAGTATGAACAGGGTTGCTTCGATAGTTTCCAGCCAAATGTTCAAAATCCACATGAAAAATGAAAAAAGTCTAAAGTCATTTTAACCAAAGATTCTAAAAAATACAGCATTTACCCAACATGACACCGATAATAAGCTGCTGGGTGTGGAAACTGATGATGTCCGGCCTTGAAAATGTGCAGAGTGTTTAAGACGTTGCCAGATGGCACTACTGGCCTTTTAAACAGACGTGTTCTTTCATCACTTCTAGGAAGAACCAAAAGCTTTTTATGTAATTTTAGAATCAAACATCTGAGAAATGCCTCATTGAATGTGTGTGTTAGGCCGTGTTCACACTGACAGCTCAAATCAGATTTTTGTCATATTCAGATTGATTTTTGATAGACTAAACAGCAGAAAACCACATGAAATCAGATTTTTGCAAATCTGATCCAAACCACATCTGGAGGTGGTTTGAAATGCGACTTCAGTCAGATTTTTACAGGTGCGTCTCAGTCTGGACACTCAAATCGGATTTCAGAGTGTCTTTTGAGTAACTCACAACACGACAAACAACAACGGTTGTCAAATCCGGAGTGATGAAGTGCTGGGACTGAAGAAGAGCTCCAAAGATTCATGATTATGAAGAGAGTTCTGAAGAGTTTGAAGGGCGAGATGATGCTGCCGCCAGTAAGGTGGGAAACTGCCCAATCTGGCAACACTGACTATGGTATATACTCTATTTGTTCCTTTAACAGAGCAAGAATTTTGCAGATTAGCTCACAAAAAAATATATTAATACTTCTACAGAGCGCTGATTGGTTAGCATTACTGCTACTGAGCTCTGATTGGTCAGCGTTACTGATACTGAGCTCTGATTGGTTAGCGTTACTGCTACTGAGCTCTGATTGGTCAGCGTTACTGATACTGAGCGCTGATTGGTTAGCATTACTGCTACTGAGCTCTGATTGGTCAGCGTTACTGATACTGAGCTCTGATTGGTCAGCGTTACTGATACTGAGCCTGATGGTTAGCTTACTGCTACTGAGCTCTGATTGGTCAGCGTTACTGATACTGAGCTCTGATTGGTCAGCGTTACTGATACTGAGCGCTGACTGGTTAGCATTACTGCTACTGAGCGCTGATTGGTTAGCGTTACTGCTACTGAGAGCTGATGGTAGCGTATGCTACTGAGCTGATTGGTTAGCGTTACTGCTACTGAGAGCTGATTGGTTAGCGTTACTGCTACTGAGCGCTGATTGGTTAGCATTACTGCTACTGAGAGCTGATTGGTTAGCGTTACTGCTACTGAGAGCTGATTGGTTAGCATTACTGCTACTGAGCTCTGATTGGTTAGCATTACTGCTACTGAGAGCTGATTGGTTAGCATTACTGCTACTGAGAGCTGATTGGTTAGCATTACTGCTACTGAGAGCTGATTGGTTAGCACTACTACTACTGAGAGCTGATTGGTTAGCATTACTGCTACTGAGCAGCTCATTGGCTGTTCGTGCTCACTGGTGTCATGAACGTACATGAGGTACCGTTTAAACTCCTGTAACTGGAGTTTCGAATGCATTACAAAACATAACAGCAGTGTTCGAATGTTTGCTGTTCTGTGTTCAGGAAATAAATGTGTTCTTTTACATAAAAACGTCTGAGAAACCCAGAAGACATTACAGAGTGTAATTCTCTTCTCTACTAGTTCTCTGGTCTTACCACTGGAGCTACAAGGCTAATACAGCTAACAAGCTAATTAAAGCTTGAACCCCATCGATTAGCATGGTGCTAACTGGACACTCTAAAACAAACTATTCCTGCTGAATCATGATGAGTGAGATTCACCTTTGGTGACTTCAATCTGCTCCAGGTCTGAGATGGTGGCCACCACAGTGGGGCAGCGCTGCAGCTCTGGAGGAACCCAGGCAGCCTGACTCGTCTCCGCACTCAGCAAACTGAACACAGGGCAATTAACACAGCAATTAACAGCTTCAATTAAAATTCAACTCATCACGATCGCTTTTAAAGACATATGAAGTATGGTGCCCCCTGCTGTCAGGACCGTTTCACTCCAACTGCAGTTGCAAATAATAATAATAAAATTACATACACCCAAAGCACTAGAAATATAATGGATAAGGCAATATAGAACAAAATCTAAAACAAATATTAAAGCATATATCAGTGTATATATATGTACATAACTCTACTAAACTGTACCAAATGTTTCAGTAGGGTCTGTTTCAGTAGTGACTGTTTCAATAGTGACTGTTTCAGTAGTGTCTGTTTCAGTAGGGTCTGTTTCAGTAGTGACTGTTTCAGTAGTGACTGTTTCAGTAGTGTCTGTTTCAGTAGGGTCTGTTTCAGTAGTGTCTGTTTCAGTAGGGTCTGTTTCAGTAGTGACTGTTTCAGTAGTGACTGTTTCAGTAGTGTCTGTTTCAGTAGTCACTGTTTCAGCAGTGACCGTTTCGGTAGTGTCTGTTTCGGTAGTGTCTGTTTCGGTAGTGATTGTTGCGGTAGTGACTGTTTCAGTAGTGTCTGTTTCAGTAGGGTCTGTTTCAGTAGTGACTGTTTCAGTAGTGACTGTTTCAGTAGTGTCTGTTTCAGTAGTCACTGTTTCAGCAGTGACCGTTTCGGTAGTGACTGTTTTGGTAGTGTCTGTTTCAGTTGTGACTGTTTCGATAGTGACTGTTTCAGTAGTGACTGTTTCAGTAGTGTCTGTTTCAGTAGTGACTGTTTTGGCAGTGACTGTTTTGGCAGTGACTGTTTTGGCAGTGTCTGTTTCAGTAGTGTGTTTCGGTAGTGTCTGTTTCGGTAGTGACTGTTTCAGTAGTGTCTGTCTCAGTAGTGTCTGTCTCAGTAGTGACTGTTTCAGTAGTGACTGTCTCAGTAGTGACTGTTTCAGTAGTGACCGTTTCATTAGTGACCGTTTCGGTAGTGCCCGTTTCAGTAGTGTCTGTTTCAGTAGTGTCTGTTTTGGTGGTGACTTTCAGTAGTGACTGTTTTGGTAGTGTCTGTTTTGGTAGTGCCTGTTTCGGCAGTGACTGTTTCAGTAGTGTCTGTTTCAGCAGTGTCTGTTTTGGTAGTGACTGTTTCGGTAGTGTCTGTTTCGATAGTGATTGTTTCAGTAGTGACTGTTTCAGTAGTGACTGTTTCAGTAGTGACTGTTTTGGTGACAATTTTAGCTCATTCTGAGCTCAGAAACTCAGCCCGAACATGACCAGAAACACAGCTTTGAACAGCTGTTCACACAGAAAATCATCATATTTATCATTAAAACACTAAAAAGTGCTGAACTGCAGAAAATATGAGGATTCTTAATGTTCCACACTGATTTTCAGACTTTGGGACACATTTACTTCAAAACAATGGGGTCTAACTGCTCACCATGTGGCCATGAGGGACAGGGATGCAGCCTCACTTACTGCTCTGAAATGCAGGGGCATGACCAAAATAAGGCTCCGCCCACTGACTAAAACTGTGTGTTTCTGTAGTGACTTGAACATTTTTAAATAAAGTTTTTTTTTATAAAAAAAATATAGCTTGTAACAATAGCAGAACCCTTTTTGGTGCTACATAGAACCATATACAACACATTGCCCTTCAATCTGAAGAACGATTTCACTGTGAAAAGAACAATTTAAACATGCAAATGACTTTTTGAGTCATCATAGTTCTATAGAGCCACTGTCTTTGCTAAAGAACCCTTGAAGAACCATCTTTTTTGAGAGTGTATAAATGATGATTGTGTACATATTTAGCTTATTATGATCTCTATTAATGTCTTGGGTTTAAATAAATAAGAACATAATCACTGTAAATATATATGATCTGAACACTTCATTGTTTTTTAATAGTTTTTAGTGAGAGTTCAGTGTGAACTTATATATATATACATATAATATATACAAAATAAAAAATACAAAAACCTCAGCGTTCGCATTCGTTATGAGTGTAATTCTGATGATGACTCTCAGTGCCGGTGTGTGTTTAAAGCTGAGTTCAGCAGGTTTGTGGTTATCTTCTCTCTCAGCGTCAACAGAACATTACACAAAAACAGCTGCTGTAAAACTGATCGATCAGACGCGCTGCTGCTATCTAGAGCACGTTCTGCCAAATTGGTTTATGGCGGAGCCTCAAACACAAAGTGTGTGTTTTAGTTTTTGGATGGACTGAGTGGCGGCGGTCACCGCGGAGAGCCGAGCGACCGGACGGTCGGATTAATGAGTCATTAAGATACACAGAGCAAACATAAAATATCTGTAATCACATATCGGTCTGTTTGCTGACGAGCCAATCAGCTTCGGCTTTAATGATCCCAATTTAAATGAACCCTTCATATGTCCCAGAGCAAACAGTGAGAGAGAACATTAGATTTCTAAATCTATTTAAAATCTATTTAAAATCTAAAAGTCTAAAAATAAATAATAGCTGATAATGGATGTAGTCAAACTCTGTTTCTCACTGCAGACTATTTTCACTGGATTTGAAGATGAAACTACGATGTTAGTGAAATCACTGCAGCTTCAATACATACAGCCAAATATTCAAGGGTTCTAAAAACACTCAAAGAACCTTTTGCATGCTTAAATGGTTCCCTGCATGGTGAAATCGTTCATCAGATTGATGGAGAATGTGTTTTATATGGTACTATATAGCATCAAAATACGTTCTGCTATTGTTACTACACTCTTAAAAAGATGATGCTTCAAGGGTGAAAAAAATGGTTCTATATAGAACCAAGAACACTCAAAGAACCCTTTGCCTGCTTAAATTGTTCTTCAGATTGATGGATTGATGGAAAATGTGCTGTTCATGGTTTTATGTATAAACTTTTTGAGAAGGATTCTAAATAGCACCAAAAAGGGTTCTGCTTTTGCTATGGTTTTAAGTTTGTAACAGCAGAAGAAGAGAACCCTATTAGTGCCACACAACACATTCTCACTCAGTCTGAGGAACCATTTCACCACGTGGAGAACCATTTAAGCATGAAAATGGCTGTATGAGTGTTTTCACGGTTCTATATAGAACCATTTTCTTCAGTAAAGAACCCTTGAAGAACCATCTTTTTAAGAGTGTAGACATATAAATCACACTGAGTGCTAAAAGTTTGATTCTCGCTTTTAAGTTAAGAAGTTCTTCTGCAGGCTGCTGTTAAAAGCTCACACTGAAACTCTTTTTAGTCCAAACGTGGCTTAAACACCTGAAAGCTTAGAGTTCTGACATCACAACAAGGTGAGAAAGTGGGTGTGGCCTCGGTGCAGGACTTTCAGCAGCTGTTCCTTCAGTTTTACAGTTTCTTCAGTTTTACAGCAAAAAAAAATTATTTCTGTGGTATATATTGTACTGTTCTGTGGTGTTTTTACTGTATTTTTGTGGTATATATTGTACTGTATGGTGGTGTTTTACTGTATTTCTGTGGTATATATTGTACTGTATGGTGGTGTTTTACTGTATTTCTGTGGTATATATTGTACTGTATGGTGGTGTTTTTACTGTATTTCTGTGGTATATATTGTACTGTATGGTGGTGTTTTTACTGTATTTCTGTGGTATATATTGTACTGTTCTGTAGTGTTTTTACAGGTAAAATTAAACTTGCTGTCCTGATAAACAGATTTAAGCAGATTTATGGTTGTTGTGCAGTGCTGTGTGTATAACAGTGTATATGAAGCTGAAGTGTTTATTGAAGGTGTTTATGAATACTGTACCACTGGCGGTAGGCCAGGCTGTCCTTATCTGCCTCACAGCGCTGCCAGGCTGTGCGCTGAGCCGGAGTCCAGGGCCAAACGTACCGACCCTGCCGAGTCTGCTGGGTCAGCTGAGGGCAAAGACCGGGCTCTAATGACACACACACACACACACACACACACACACACACACCCACACACACAGAAACAGAGACAGAGACCAACCGGGAAATCAGAAATGATGATGTACAGTTATATATACTGTTATATACGGCATTTCCCTTCAGTATAATGAATGAGGCAATGTAAAAGCTGCAGTGCTCAAATTCTATAGAAAAAAGAAAAAAGTGGAATATTTGTTTTTTTTCTGAACCGTGGCAGTTCACACTCTCAGAAAAGTGAATAATTCATATTGTGTATTGTGACCATCATTATTATTGTGATGTGCCACATTGTCCACTTTTAGTGGACACAACAGCACAAAACACTTCTGAGAAATGTGACAGTGATGTTCTGGGCATGGTGTTACCACCCTTGTGGTGCCTATACCGGTTTTTGCTGCCGTACTCTCTTGTCTTTCTCTTTCTCGTGTTCCACCTGTCCTTTTATTAGGACCTGGGCTTGGAGACTTCTGATTGGCTGCAGCAGGGGGCGCTCCAGCTATAAAAGGGGCTGAGAAAAGATGGTGGCTGGTGGAGGCTGGTGGAGGCTGGTGGAGAAAAGATGGTGGCTGACTGCTTTGGTTGTTGCATCTGTGCCATCCGCTCTCCCACTGACCAGATCAAACCCAGCACCTTGGTTTAGCTTATCTTAACCAGCCTTGATGTTTCTTATCATGTAACCCTTGTTCTCTAAGGTCAGGGGTGAGTGCTCTGTCTTGGTTTGCTACCATTTCCTCCTGGTTTGGTTCAGGGTAGTTGTTTGTATCTTTGTTTTCATCCTAGGTAAGTTTTGATTTTGTTTCCAGCTGTTTTAGCTCTCTGCTGAAGAGGTTTATCTCCTTTAATTATTAACTATATTGCATCTAATAGATGGCTAATATAAACAAATGTGTCTCTTATCTGCTGTCTTATGTTCCTTTAAAGAATGGCAGTTCATATCTGATGGATGAAAGGAATAAATGTTGACATTTAACTATCTTATCTGGGTTCTTGTTGTTTGGTCTGGTGGTTGTTTTGGCGTTTGGCCTATTTTTTATGTACAACCTCTTTTAGAATCCCCTAGACCAGGGGTCACAACCCAAATGCTAAGAAGAGCCATTCTGTATGTAGCTAGTCTGAATGTAACTGCTGCACCATTTAAGGTGGAACGGGAGAATCGAACGAGAAGCTGGCGAATGAGAAACTGACTTCAGCTCCATGACTTTTTAGTGTTGTCAGTTTCTCACTGCAGATTAAACCAGCTGGAGTGATTATAAACACAAATAAGTCCATTCATCTCCAAATTATCGATGTTCGTATTAAATCTCTCTCTTTGCCGTTTCGTTAGCTACTAGCTAGGTGAGATCGTTGTCTGTGTTGCTATGGTGACCAGCAGTCTGTGCTGATCTTCAGGGTTAAAGGGTGAATCAGCAGTTCTACATTAACTCCAGCTTTTAAGACCATTTACTGTTAAACTGTGTTGAACGATCAGCAGAGCTTTATTTTACTGTAAAGGAGGATTATTTTATTTTTACCTACTAATCTGATTCTGCTGTGGAGCAACAGGACAGTAAAAGAGCCAGATGTTGCCAAACCCTGGTTTAGACCTATGAGGTCGTAACAGTATTTGTGTGTGTGAGGCCGGTACCTATGTGTGATATGAGGATGTCCTCTGGATCAGCGTCCAGGCTCACGCTGCCGTTGCTGTAGGGCTTCTCCAGCAGGTCGTGGATCTGTCTCTGAGTCTCCTCTACATTAGAGCACCCAGGCACGAGCATCTGAAACACACAGCTGTGGCTGGGAGCAGGAGTGGCTGTCAGTACAGCGTACAGTCTCACTGACACAACATCATTAATCACATACAAGTTCATCTAATTCTGCTTTGAATTGACCTCTACAGGCTCCGCCCACAAGCGGTTGGACAAGCTTTACAGAACTCTAAATGTAGGTATTGTGATATAAACTGAGTCTGTTCTACAGTTTCTCATTAGGCTGAATGAATAACTGACTCTAAATGTAGGTATTGTGATATAAACTGAGTCTGTTCTACAGTTTCTCATTAGGCTGAATGAATAACCGACTCTAAATGTAGGTATTGTGATATAAACCGAGTCTGTTCTACAGTTTCTCATTAGGCTGAATGAATAACTGACTCTAAATGTAGGTATTGTGATATAAACTGAGTCTGTTCTACAGTTTCTCATTAGGCTGAATGAATAACTGACTCTAAATGTAGGTATTGTGATATAAACTGAGTCTGTTCTACAGTTTCTCATTAGGTTGAACTGGATTTTTCAATCAATCTATTAATCAACCTTTATTTTCACTCAGAAATACATTGAGGGTGACTCATTTTCAATGTAGCTGAAGATTTACAGCACAGAAGGACTGAAAATAAATTAAAATGGAATTTATTCAGCTTAGAATAAAATGAACAGAAATACATGAACAAATTAACAACAAAATCAAACAAAATCAAGATAAAAAAGAAAAAAAACAGGATTTAATTCGGAATGGGAACAATAAAATAAAACCCAGATATAATAGTTAAAAAAGGATTATAAAAAGTGATCTAATAAAAACAGTAATAGAAATAAGATCAAATAAAGAAATTAAGATTTCAAGCAGCCAAAAGAAATGAAATAAAATAAAATTATTGGGAAAAAAATAAACTAAAACAGTTACAGGCTGTCTGAAGGAAGAGATTAAAAGCTTAAAATGATTTTTACCAACATTCTGTAAAGTTTGTCCAACTTCACAACAGCAGCTACAAAACTGGGCAAAGTATGAATGTCATTTACATTCGTTTACATTTTCTCACTTTCACTGAGCTCTTACCTTTCTTCAGTGATGAAAAGAGCCTGAAATAAAGAACAAAATCTGCTAGTCTACAGAATCAGGAGGAAGAAAGACAGTGCAGTGCAGCTCACTGGCCCTGAACTGGACTCACCTCTTTCGCTTCGTAGCTGCGTTTCTTCAAACTGAAAGACAAAATAAAATTCATCCTGATCAAGCAGCTCAGAAGAAACGGAGCAGGTTTCTAGAAATCTAGAAATTCCACACCAGACCACTCTGAATGACTCTGTTTACATCTCAACCACTGAACTAGTAGGGAACGCTCGTAAAAGGACTATGAAATCCCAGGTGGTTGCTAAGGTGTTCCAAAGTTATCCCAGGTGGATGTAAAGATGTTGCAAGGCCATTGCTTTGGAATCCCAGGTAGTTGCTAAGGTGTTGCTATGCCATTTCTACACTTTGTTAATCTGGGTGGTTGCTAAGGTTTTGTTAAGCCGTTGCTATGAAATCCCAAGTAGTTGCTAAGGTGTTGCTAGGCCGTTGCTATGAAATCCCAAGTAGTTGCAAAGGTGTTGCTAGGCTGTTGCTATGAAATCCGAAGTAGTTGCTAAGGTGTTGCTAGGCCATTTCTACGCTTTGTTATCCTGGGAAGTTGCTAAGGATTGGAAAGCCATTGCAATGAAATCCCAAGTAGTTGCTAAGGTGTTGCTAGGCCGTTGCTATGAAATCCCGAGTAGTTGCTAAGGTGTTGCTAGGCCGTTGCTATGAAATCCCGAGTAGTTGCTAAGGTGTTGCTAGGCCATTTCTACGCTTTGTTATTCTGGGTGGTTGCTAAGGTTTTGTTAAGCCATTGCTATGAAATCCTGAGTAGTTGCTAAGGTGTTGCTAGGCCGTTGCTATGAAATCCCGAGTAGTTGCTAAGGTGTTGCTAGGCCATTTCTATGCTTTGTTATCCTGGGTGGTTGCTAAGATGCTGCTATGCCATCGCTATTATAAGAAAAATACTGACCGGACAGTTCTTGTTTGTGGGGATGTGAGATGGAAGTTTAGCACAGATATCCTTTTGGTAGAGAGAGTTCCGTAAAGCTACAGACAGAGAAAGGCAAATGCAAACATATATGAAGCATCAAAGTAATTTGGATTTAACATGCATATATAATAAGGCTTGACTGTAATAAAAGTTTGTCACTGATACTGTGACTTTCAGAAGCTAAAATTCAGATAACTGATGATTTTAGCTCATATACAGTCAAAAATCCAGTAGTTGTACTTAAAGAGCAAGTGCTCTACTGACTGATTTGATTGTCCGTTCTTAATTTGTTAAACTCAGTTAAACTTTTTTTATCCAGCCAGATGATCTATCAGGTCCTAATAAGCATGTATTTTATCTTAATAGAGTTTCATGTTCCCTCTTTCTTACCCATGTCTGAATAGTGTCTGCAGGGTCTACACCTGATCCCCCAATCGTTACGTTCACACTGACCTTGAAGAAACTGTCTGTATCAAAGACAGACAAAAATCTTTTTGCTGATTCATGATGCAACACATGAAAAGGACAGAACAGGAACACAGTACGACTGTTGCCTAAATGTAGTTCTGATTACATAAGAAAATTCATAATTTCTCAGCAACAATGAGCTTCTAACCTGTGGCTGGAGGAAAAACTGGAGACAATGATGGTTTGGTTGTGCTGGGTGTTGAAGTTGTGCCAGGTCTTGTGCTGGGTGTTGTGGTTGTGCTGGGTGTTGTGGTTGTATCTGGTGTTGTGGTTGTGCTGGGTGTTGTGGTTGTGCTGGGTGTTGTGGTTGTATCTGGTGTTGTGGTTGTATCAGGTGTTGTGGTTGTGCTGGGTGTTGTGGTTGTATCTGGTTTTGTGGTTGTGGTTGTGCTGGGTGTTGTGGTTGTATCTGGTGTTGTGGTTGTATCTGGTGTTGTGGTTGTGGTTGTATCTGGTGTTGTGGTTGTGCTGGGTGTTGTGGTTGTATCTGGTGTTGTGGTTGTATCGGGTGTTGTGGTTGTGCTGGGTGTTGTGGTTGTATCTGGTGTTGTGGTTGTGGTTGTATCTGGTGTTGTGGTTGTGCTGGGTGTTGTGGTTGTATCTGGTGTTGTGGTTGTGCTGGGTGTTGTGGTTGTATCTGGTTTTGTGGTTGTATCTGGTGTTGTGGTTGTGCTGGGTGTTGAGGTTGTATCTGGTTTTGTGGTTGTGCTGGGTGTTGTGGTTGTATCTGGTGTTGTGGTTGTGGTTGTATCGGGTGTTGTGGTTGTGCTGGGTGTTGTGGTTGTATCTGGTGTTGTGGTTGTGCTGGGTGTTGTGGTTGTGCTGGGTGTTGTGGTTATGCCGGGTGTTGTGGTTGTGCTGGGTGTTGTGGTTATGCCGGGTGTTGTGGTTGTGCCGGGTGTTGTGGTTGTGCTGGGTGTTGTGGTTATGCCGGGTGTTGTGGTTGTGCCGGGTGTTGTGGTTGTATCTAGTGTTGTGGTTGTGCTGGGTGTTGTGGTTGTGCTGGGTGTTGTGGTTGTATCTGGTGTTGTGGTTGTATCGGGTGTTGTGGTTGTGGTTGTATCGGGTGTTGTGGTTGTGGTTGTATCTGGTGTTGTGGTTGTATCTTGTGTTGAGGTTGTATCCAGTATAGTGGTTGTGATGGGTGGTTTGGGCGTTGAGTTGATTGGTTTTGAGGTTGATTTAGGAACTTCATCGCCATCTGCACAGAAACAAAGAGAGGGTAATGACAGTAGAGAGGTTAACAAGCATACAATGAGTAATGAGGACAGAGCAGGTAACTAGGGTACAGAGGGTAATGAGGGTAGAGAGGGTAATTAGGGTACAGAGGGTAATGAGGGTAGAGAGGGTAATTAGTGTACAGAGGTTAATGAGGGTAGAGAGGGTAATTAGTGTACAGAGGGTAATGAGGGTAGAGAGGGTAATTAGTGTACAGAGGTTAATGAGGGTAGAGAGGGTAATTAGTGTACAGAGGTTAATGAGGGTAGAGAGGGTAATTAGTGTACAGAGGGTAATGAGGGTAGAGAGGGTAATTATTGTACAGAGGTTATGAGGGTAGAGAGGGTAATAGTGTACAGAGGGTAATGAGGTTAGAGAGGGTAATTAGTGTACAGAGGGTAATGAGGGAAGAGAGGGTAATAGTGTACAGAGGTTAATGAGGGTGAGAGGGTAATTAGTGTACAGAGGTTAATGAGGGTAGGAGGTAATTAGGTACAGAGGGTAATGAGGGTAGAGAGGGTAATTAGGTACAGAGGGTAATGGGGTAGAGAGGGTGATTAGTGTACAGAGGTCATAAGGGTAAGAGGGTATAGCAAGGAATGAGAGAGGGTAGTGTACAGGTAAGGGGAGAGAGGGTAACTTGGGAACAGAGGGTAATGAGGGAAGAGAGGGTAACAAGGATACAAAGGGTAACTAGGGTGGAGAGGATAATGTGGGACAGGGTATAAGGAGGTCAGACTACGGGTAGATTGAAGGGGTATTGGGTACAGTAGGTATAGTGAGGGTCAAAAAGAGAGGATAATGAGGAGGAGAGGGTAACTAGGGTGGAGAGAGTAACTTGGAAACAGAGGGTTACTCGGGAGCAGATGGGTAACTGGTACAGAGGGTAACTAGGGTAGAGACGGTAACTTAGGAAGAGATGGTAACTAGGGAAGAAAGGGTTGAAGGGGTAGTGAGGATAGAGAGGGTAGTAAGGGTAGAGAGGGTAATTACGATAGAAATGGTAAAGTGGGTGACTAGCAAAGAAAGGGTACTGAGAATAAAGAAAGTACTAAGGGTAGCCAGGGTAAATGGGGTAGAAAGGGAAGGATACTGAGGAAAGACAGGGTAATTATGGCTGTAAGTGTAATTAAGAAGGAAAGTAATAAGCGTAGTTACAGTCTTAAAAATAAAGTTCCCAAAGGGGTTCTTGGTCATATGTTCTATATAAAAACCTTTCATTGTTTCCATCGTCTTTACGTTACATGGAGGTTCCTTAATGTTTCATTTACAACAAATGGTTTTTAAACAAAAATCCACTGAAAGGCTCTTTAAGGATGGTATAATGGTGTGACATCCTACCAATAGAATAAATGTGCAGAAACTCCCTGTGTGTGTACAGGTCGTACTCGGCCGTATGAAACTCATCCCTGAGGCGCTCATGAACCAAGTCCTGAACTTTTCCAACATCATCGCTGGGAATCACAGTGAGATGAGCCAAAGCATCAAACCTACATGCATCCATGGAGACATAAACACATGCTGCTAATTTACTTCATTCATACACGAACCATTTGGAAATCATTGTCAAATGCCTTCTGATAAGACTGTTTGATTAAGTTGGTTATAAATTCTAATTTAGAAGAGTCCATAAATAAATTACCTTTTTAGATATGGGGTGCATCTAACCAGGATCACAGACTATATTAACCATTTAAAGCTAACTCAAACGTGGCTTGATAGCTGTTTTCTATTAATAATGTCTTTTTTGGTACTTTTGTCACATTTTTCTGATGTGTAAAGAACTTGATCTAGGAAAGCCGAAGATTTAGGGATTTGTGTTTAGTTTGTTGCTCTGCGTACACAGAATGATAATAAGCTTACTGATTAAAATTGCACTCTTAATGAGTTTGTGCACTCACTCAGTAAAAAAACCACAGGACATCCAACAATAAAAGGAGTCTAATGTGTCTTTTATATTGCGATTGAAAACATGGTGGGTCACTGAAAGTCTGGCTAACGTAAACATGCTCAGGCCGTAACTCCTCTGGCAAGTTAAAAGGAACACTGTCAAATTCTCAAAATGAGTTGCTGGTGAGAAGTTAGATACGAATGATATTTTCAGGGCTGTAAAAACTTTGTGTGTGTTAGAAATGGAGTTCACTTAGGTTTCTGAGAAAGACGTCCAACGTTACCATCTGGCTTGGGGGTTGTTCCACAGATTCCGTTCGTCCTGTTACAGTAAGAATTGTTTAATAATAAGTTTGTTTATGAGATTTATATTCTATTTAAATGCTGTAGATGTCATTAGGAACATCACTCACATCTCTTCTTTTCCTGTGGGATTCAGCAGAGCTGCAGAAAAGCAGATACAGAGCTTATATAGAGAGAGTAAAGTGTTACAGAACAAGGCTGAACAGCAGATTTTAACACTTGAAACGTAGATTTCTTACCTTGGCACTGGAGATACGACGACTCTGTGCAAGTAAATGTTTGATGGAAGCACACACCTTAGCTAAGAAACAGAGACATCCAAAGTGCATAATTCTGCTTTCAGACAAACTGGCATTTCACATTACTGATGTTGGCAGTAAACGTGTTCTGAAAGCTGTAGTTTACCCAGTAATGTGTGATTTCTCGGGCTTCGTAACTGTTGATGTTTCCGCTGGAGTGGAGAATGAGGAGTCCAACTTTAACCTCGTACAGAGACCAGGCTAACACAAGAGGAGAGAAGTTATGAAACATATTAGATGTTTTTAAATAAAACTACAATTTTTAAATTAACTTCTCTTTGCTGAATATGAACCTGAGTCACTGTTTGGACCCACTCGACTGTCTGAATGGGTGTTTTTTATCCTTGCTGTAAAAACCAACATAGACCAGCATGGAGGGTCACCAGCAAAACCAGCATATGTTGTGTTTTGCATGTTGGTTTGCTGGTCAACCAGTATGATCATGCTGGGTGACCAGCTAAACCAGCACCAGACCAGCACTAGACCAGCATAAACCAATATAAACCAGCTAAGACGAGCATGGAATTCATGGTCTGTGCTGTTTTTTTCTGCAGGGATAACAGCATATCAGGAAAAGTCTTTTTAAAACTGCAGTGAAAACACTGCAGATCGTGGCTCTACAGTAACATTAAATACTTACTAAAATCTCTGTATTTTGGCCAAATTAACAGCCTTGAACAGCTGCTTGTGTGACGGAAAAATGGACCAAACCCAAAAAGCTTTTAATGGTCTTAACAACAAATCATTAGTCAGTAAATTAGCAGGAACTAAACAGCTGCAGTAAGTTAATGTGGAGAGTTTGTCCCTTTGATTTCTTTAGATGTGGTAGTTTAGTGTGTGAATGTTCAGAGAGAAGAGTCCGTATTGATCCACTCAGCACTGACGGCTTCACACAGCTGGAAAACTCTGATGAGCTTGTTTATACAGAAGACCAGAGAGGCCATGAGCTGCTGTAATTTTCTGGATTGTTATCCTGAGATAATGAGTTAATTATCTTGTGATTTTAAGATATCAACATTGTTCTCTTGAGATCACAACAACTTTATCTTGACATCACAAAATAATGAACTTATTATCTCTAGACAACAACTTTTTTTATCATGAGAAAACAAGATAGTTAACTTGTTATTTCAAAATAACAACTTTGTTATCTTGTGATAACAAGATAATTAACTTGTTATCTCAAGATAACAATTAAGAAAATGAAAACTACCTCATGGTCTTCTGTAAGTTTATGTTTAATGTGAGACCAAATATCCTCTATAGGGTTAAACTCTGGACTCTTTCCAGCCATAAACAATCATTAAAAACCACTATATTTTGGGCTTGGAGGTTTTTTTGCCCAGGGGTGTATATGGTTTGAATGTAATCCTGCTGGTGATCACTATTATTATAATAATAATGATTACTGTCTTGTTTACTGTTACTGTAACATTAATTTAATCTTATTAAGTGTTCTGTTAAAACTCAACCCTGCTTAATGACCAGTGCTCAGCAGGACGATGCAGAACTCTTAACCACTCAGACTGTGCTGTTAAAACTCATTGCTGTATAATCTGAAACAATAATAAAGAAGAACTTTCTGGAAGCCGACTGTACTACTTTACCGCACGTCAGCGCGTCGTCTCTCTCAGCCGGACAGGTGTGAGTGTTCCACACTCCGCCGTGCCACCTGAGTGTGTCTCCGTCAGTGCAGGAGTGGGCCGAGTGAAGCTCCGGGCTCCGGATTTTTCCCCAAACCCGGAACAAAGTTACGTTTCCCTGCAGGTTCGTCCCGCTTTCCACCTCCATCTTCCCTCCGGTGAAATAATGGGCCGCCCCCAGAGTGAGAGACCCAGCGGCGGTCAGTCCGCAGGCTGAACCTTCAGGCTGGACGTCCATCACCACAGCGTTGCTGCCGTCGATGAAAAGTTGGAGCTGCTTCATGGAGCACGACCAGGTGATGCAGATTGAGCACCACTGACCCACGGTCAACGTGTCCGGCGCTGTCCAGTACATTCCAAACAGCCAAATATGCAGTTTCCCGCTGCGGCCACCCAGCCCCAGCTCCACCCGGCTCTGATCCGGGTGCAGGTAGGTGAAGGCCGTCCAGGCGGAATTATTGATGCTCCTCTGGACATTCACACAAACACTGAACTCCTCCAGAGCAGGCAGAGAGTGGTCAGGTTTGAGCGTCCAGTACTGACAGCCTGACCGCTGCAGGACGGCCTTTAAACCCCACAGACTCTGGGCGCCTGGGGGAAGAGAGGGAAAGTCAAACGATTCTGTAAAATGCTTTTAAGGGCCTTTTGAGAAACGCTTATCTAAAAGCTGAGAAAGTTCCTACAGTAAATGGTTATGAATTCACTGCCTGATGACTGAGACACTGTTTTATGATCGTTTAGAAAACTTAAACTCCATTCATGGTGGAGGGATACATGCAGGGCGCTGTGAGGCAAAATAGTCCCCAAAGAAAACTTATTATTTCAGATTTCCCACTATTTTCCATCATCAACATTCCATATAAACTCAGAAGACTCGTGTAGGTTCACTGGTGGTTCTGGATAGTAAATAAAATGTTTATATTTGTGTTGTAGTCATGGCGACCCCTGGTTCCTATCACCACCACTGTAAAGACATCTGAACCATTTCACACCAAACCACTCTGAACCACTCTGATTACAGAGTGAACTGAATTATGGGGGAATTCCTATGTTAAAAGAGGAAAAACACTTTAATATATAAAAATCAAACTTGACTGATTGATTGTTTGAACAGACAGACATTCTCATTAACTGAGATTATTGCTGTCAACAAACCACAACTAAAGAACATTTCACACTCAATATTCAACGTCCATCTTTTAAAGCCTTAAAATCCCCAAAAGTGTCTGTACCTGCATTCTTTGCAGATGTGAAGTGCAGAGCGAGGAGGACGACGGCCCACAGCTGGATAAACTTCATGGCTTTTTTCATCCACTGATGCAGTTATTTTTTACAGTCATAAAAGAGGGGAAATGAACACACCTATAACAGCTGTTTATGTGCATCCACTCTTAACATTATTCAGTCCACAGCCTCTCAGAGCTGATTCAGTCACATTTTCTTCACAGTGAGGATGTTTTGCTGGGCTTTGCTGCTGAATTCTGGATCTGCGTGACACAACTGAGTCTGAAGTGAGCAGAAAATAAGAGTTTAAATAAAAGGAGAAAAAGCTCAGAACTTTCTGATTTACGATCATTTGATCATTTCAGAAGGTGAAGCCTCATAAAGCAGCAGAGTAAATATAATAAATATAGCACACAGAGGCACTTCCATATTCTCAGAGTCTCTGTCCTGTTTACGAGAAACACAGTCCAGCACATTTTAATTAAACTGACTGTCAGCTGAACATTCAACGGCACAGAGACTCTGCTGTTAACTCTACACTGCTGAGAATGCTCTGTAATGCTAGTCATTATTTTAATATATATCGCTGTTGTCGGAACAAAACCTTGTATTTCCAAAATAGTAACTTTACAGGAGAAGGAAAAAACCTACTTTACTTTTAATGTAAGTCAATGGAACCAGACTTTTTTCCAAGTCATTTTGGGCCGTTTCTTTTGGTCCATTCATCATGAAATTTACACACACTGTAAAGACCAAAATATGTCAGAAACGGAAAATCGACAAAAATGGAGATATGAGGTTTCGTTCCGACAGCAGCGATATGTATATTTATATGTTGAATATTTTTATAACAAACATTTTAACTTTAGGTACATTTTCAGCCACGTCTTTATTTTTTCTGGATCAAAGTACATCAAATTATGAATTTTGTAAATCACCACACCCTTAATAAATATATATAGACAGACTGGCCACTTCATTAAGTCTACCCCCTTATTTCTACACTCATTGTCTGCTGTGTCTGATCCACTCGCACCAGCGCAACACACACTAACACACCACCACGTCAGTGTTACTGCAGTGCTGAGAATGATCCACCACCCAAATAGTACCTGCTCTGTGAGGGTCCTGTGGGGGTCCTGACCACTGAAGAACAGGCTAACAAAGTATGCAGAGAAACAGATGGACTACAGTCTGTAACTGTAGAACTACAGAGTGAAACTATACGGTCAGTGGAGCTGATAAAGTGGACAGTGAGTGGAGAAACAAGGAGGTGGACTTAATGAAGTGGCTGGTCGGTGTGTATGTATACATACATATATATATATATATACATATATATATATATATATATATATATATATATGGCTGGTATTTACAGTAGTATGTAAATGTTTTGTTTTAAGTGTAAAATAGTTATAAATCCTCCACAAAAACACACTTCTGCACATTTTAATACACAATTCCTGTTTATTTGCAATTTTTTAAATTAAACAAAAGGAAAAACTAAAACATAAAATGTGTCCTGTGCAAAAGTAATTTTATATTTTGTTTTTTTTCTTTCTAATACATTGAACTCAGCAAATAATTAGAAAATGTGCATTAAAATATGCAGAAATAAACGCCGCATTTAAGTGTGTTGTCTGTTGTTCTCTCTTATTTTCAACTAGAAAATCAACAAAACACGTCATTTCACCAGAGGCGCCCAAACATTTGCATACGACCGTATGTCCAGCATTCACTTCGGCATTCTAATGTTCTAAAACACTCCCCCCAAACAGACCCTTAGTTTATGACAGCTTTCATAAATAGACTAGAAGACCTAAAAGAACAGATAAAATTACTCACCACTCTCAGCATTAACCTCTCCCTCTCTCTCTCCCTCTCTTTCTCCCTCTCTCTCTCTCTCTCCCTCTCTCTCTCTCTCCAGCAGCGAATGTGTTTGTCTGCTGAGCTTTACCTGGTCCAGGTGTGTATTAGAGGAGGCTGCTGGACAGTGAATGACCACACCCCACCTTCTGCCCTCTCAGTTACACATTAAACTCAGCCGTGTTTACATTTACATTTACATCCACATGTGTTTGTTAACCAGAGTGAATTACATAAAAGTGACATAAAAGTGACATAAAACACATAAACATATATCACACAGCGCGGCCTTAAAGGCCCAGAGCAGGAACTGAGTCTTCCTCTTTTCTGAAATAGAGTTTGATGTAAATTGTAAACATTTAAAAGGCACTGCAAACAGCCACAGGACTAGAACTAGAACTGTACGTTCCGTTGGTTCCTGTTTGGGTCAGTTCTACAGTGCGGTTTGTGCGGTGGAAAAGCCCCTTAATGCTTCAAAAATATTCCTGAAAATGAGTTTAAATCATAACTGTGGGTTCTAATGCAGCTGAATCTGAACAGTGTAATAAAGCATGTGTCCAGCAGGGGGCAAACTGAGCTGTTTTTGATGTTCTGTGGCTCTGTGAGTGAGTGCCCTCTGCACCACTGACTGAGAGAACACACCAGCTCAGTCTGAGCAGACCTGTGGAGAAACTGTCTGGATTCCTGTGACTGAGTGACGCTGATCATTCCAAAGGACTGAAACAGATCTGTGGGCTGAGGGTTACGGAGAAAGTTCAGGAGGTGTTAAACTGTCTGTGATGGAAAACCTTCGACTGTACATACAGTGGCTAAAATTTAAAAATTATAAACATACGTTTTACTGACATTCAACATGACTCAGTGGCAAATCCTGTCATTTTGCCACATAAATCCTGTGCATGTGGACGTCCAGAGAGACCATGAGGATGTTATAATTTTCTAGACTGTTATATTAAGATCACAACTTATTTGTCTCCTAATCTGAAGATAACAAACATTTTCTTGAGGTAACTTGATAATCTTGAGATTATTAGGAAAAAACTTTTGCTGCTGTTGTTTTCTTGAGATCACAAGACAATCAAGGTGTGAAATACAGGGGGTCCCGGGGGTCCCGGGATCTCCTAATTATCCTCTTGGACCCCCTGAATGTCTCAAAATCAAAATTCTGGGGGTCCCTTATTGTGACGTTATGCTGTCTGTTAGAGACCCTCAAATCCAGACTCAGTGAAGCTGATTGTTTATCTGCTTCCCCCACAATCAGCTTCTGTCTCTGGTGATCTTAACTAACCAGAGCTGCAGCACTGCTCTGCCTCAGGGTGGCGCTGTAGCAGACTGGTTCACCCAGCTGGTCCTTCATAGTCTATAAACTGTATCTGGTTTGTTTATGAAGGAATTCGTTATTTTCCGACGTAGCTGCTGCATATATAGCTACACTGAGTATTAGCCCAACATTAAAGTCAGCACGGAGCTGAAATCAGCTTATTATTCACCAGCTTCTCGTTTGAATTTTCACAAAATGGTGCACCTTAAATGGTGCAGCGTAGGGCTGGGCAATATGACAGTGTATATTGTTATCATGATAAATGATGTCACAGTAAAATACAATATGCTTTTCTGAACATGTTGTGTGTTTTTGGTTGGATTTAAAAAAAAAAAAACTAGCTCACACATCCTAGTTTCTAAAAATCACCCATCCAGCTTTAAGTCATGATCTCAGGATAACAGTCCTGGCCTCTGGACTTCCATATACACATTTTGCTGTGTGATTTCAGCATGTGAGCAGCAGATGGCGCTGTTGTGACACCTCGAATAAAAACTACAGCAGAAAAACAGAACTGAATCTCACTGTTTATTTATTTTCCCAACAATACACAAACACATGATGCAGACGACATGGAGGCAGTAAGTGGAGAATGCAATGATCCAAAAAAGGAGATTATTTCAGTTTTGTATCAATCAAGACCATTTATGAAATGTTTACTACACATTAAGCTGCATATAGTGATCTAATGCATATATATCAGCCTGATTAGTACATATTTAAGACACAGTTAAATGCTGTCTGAGACAAAAGCTGCTTGAGTTGACGTGCTGAACGAAAGCGAGGCTGAAAAACACATTGAGGAAATACCAAAACACACACCTCACCTTCCTCGTTTATCACTCACTGGAAACAACACCGCGCTGAACTCGGTTCTACAGCGTTAAATATATCACAGCACGATCGGCGCCAAACGCAGGCGAGCAGAAAGACAGTAGCAGGGCTGATTTAGTATATTTAACTCAAGGTGGAAATGATGCAGTTATTCAGAGCTGGTCTGTTTTCAGTGTGAGTGAGTCTGAGGAGATTTTCTGATTATTCTCATTAAGACAATCAAAATCAAAGAGAAACTTTATGATCTACAAACTAAAATGGTTCAGTTGTACGGTCGAGTCAGGCTGATCCTGGTGGAGGAATGAAGCACAATCTGAATAAAAACATCAAAAATGGACCCACAAAAACTGAGAGTGAATGATTATATTTTGCTGCCTGCGAGAAAAAGCGATATTAGTCTCCTCAGTTGAGCTTTCCTGTTACAGTAAGCTGTTATGAGATGTGTTTGCATATGACTAAATTAATGTTGCTTAACTTTTATTATTTCTTATTCTGATTAAACCTCCATTTCTCTGCTTCTGCAGTCTGATCTACACTTTTTTGGCGCAGTCGCTGCAGTAAATGTCTCCGTCTTTGGAGACGAAGCGCTTGTCGGCCAGGTTCAGAGAGCATTTCCTGCAGTTGAAGCAGAAATCATGCCAGGTGCCCCCCTCATAGTTCACCACGTTAGTGGCTTTTCCGAACCCTGCAGGTGAAAACAAGACAGCGGGAGTCAGAATTCAGGAGAGTTTACACTTTTAAAGCAACGTTATGTGAGAATTTTATCCTAAAATATCAATTTCCAAATCATTTTGATGCTACACTGACTTATAATAGTGAGAACGGCGTCTCTGTTGTTGCTGCAAATGTCAAGTTGCACAGAAATTATGTTGCAGGCAACTCACAACATGCAATAGGTTGCATTAAAGTCAGTCTTAAAGAAAAAAAATTGGCAAAAAATCAAAGTCTGTGTTGTGTGTGAGTTTTGTGTGTGTGTTTGTGTGTAACTGACCAGTGATTGGGTTCTGGCAGCCGGAGCACTTTTTGGCGACGCAGGTTTTGTAACAGTCCACGCAGAACACTCTGTCCTCATGGGAGGTGAAGCGAGTTCCAGCGAGCGGCTTCTGACACGAAACGCACACAAAACAGGCCGAGTGCCACGGCTGGTCCTGATAATTCACACCGCCGGACGTAATGGCCTGCACACACAACACAACACACAAAACACAAACCCACACACACACACAACACACACAACACAAAACACACACACACACACACACACACACATTTAACACACTTAATATAGCTCAGTTTACACACTCTCACTTCAGAAGAAAACAATAAACGGCTAATTAATTATCTTAAGGATGATTATCTGCTATCTGCTATGAATTATTCAGTATCTGCTATGAATTATTCAGTGTCTACTATGAATTATTCAGTATCTACTATGAATTATTCAGTATCTGCTATGAATTATTCAGTGTCTACTATGAATTACGAATTTTAATTATTTCAGAGCGAGTTTTAAAGGTTCTATCTCACCTTCTTGCAGCCGGCGCACTGCTTGGCGAACTTCTTCTCGTGGCAGGAGCTGCAGTAGATGTTGTCGTTTTTGGTCAGGAAGCTCTGGGAGCCGATGGGTTTTTTACACTGGTAGCAGGTGAAGCACTCGTCATGAAACGAGTTCCCTTTATACTCCACACTCTCCGTCCCTGCAGCCAAGAGGAGAAAACATCTGTACAAAGACCCCAACAGCACCAGCACGACTAAATACAGCACTTCATTTGTTTCTGAGAAAGAGCTAAACACTGTTTTGGCTGGTGAGAATAGTTTATGTATTTTATGTTGAAGTCTTCCTGAGTTTAAAATTTAACCCCCAGAGCTGCAGCGATACAGTAAAACTGCAGTTAAGCTACTGCTAGTTCAGAGTTTACAAATGCAGTAAAAACAATAAAACAGAGATATTTTAGCATTATTTAAACGTTCTGGTTGATTCCACGGCTGGGGTGGAATTTAGCCCTTGTAATTCTTAATTAAACTTTATTTTATAGAATTATTCAGCACTGAATATAAGAAAACATTCACTTAACCATTCAAATAACGTGTTAGCCATCTCAAAAACAATATAATAAGGGTTCCTTTGCTGTGGAGAGCTAACATGCTAACAGCACTGCGACATTAAGGACATTCTTACGATTTACTTTAACTGTATTTTTGAAATGAATAATTTAATAATCAGCCTATCACTCCGGTTGTAATTCACAGTTGTACTTTCAAACTGACCTCGCGAGTCAGTAACACTGAAAATAAAGGAAAAAGAATGACAGAACGAACTTCTGTCCAGGTTGAGAACTGTATTTGCTCTGTTTGTTTACTGTGCAAAACAAACCCTTCTGTGTTCTGAGTGGTTCCTAAAGTCAAAAGGCTCTAGATAAGACCAGCTCTGGAACAGAGTTAAGCTCATTAACACCTAAATACTCCCGTGTGTGAGTTTTGCGCTGCTGACTGTGTTTAATGACTCGTAAAGATCGTAACTGGCTCTCCTCGCTGCTCTCAGTGCAGCTGTGACCCACACAGTGCCGTACCTGCCAGAATGGGTTTGTAACAGGTGTGGCAGCGGGGGGCGTCCTCACGCGAGCCGCATTTACCACACAGGATCCGGTCATCCTTAGTGCTGAACGCCTCCTTGGCCAGATTCTTATAGCACTTAGAGCAGCGGAAACAGTCCTCGTGCCAGTAACGGCCCTTATGGTGAAGCTCCTATGGAGAGAGAGACTTACAGGTAAAGACAGGTTACAGGTAAACAGGCTTTACAGGTAAAGAAACCTCACAGGTTAAGATGCCTTACAGCTGGTGATGCTTTTACAAGTAAAGACTCCTTACAGGTAAGAACAGGTAAAATTGTCCTACCAGTAAAAATGCCAACAGGTAAAGAGAACTTACAGGTAAATATGCTTTGAATGTAAAGAAGCCTTGAAGGTTAAATCCCTTACAAGTGAAGATACTTTACAGTTCAAGATACCGTACAGGTAAAGATGCCTTATAAGTAATGCCTTACAGTTAAAAACAGCTTAGAGCTAAATGAGCTTTAACGGATAAATAAGCCTTCTGGTAAGGATGCCTAACAGACGAAGACACCTTACAGAGAAAAAATACTGAACAGGAAAGGATGGCTTACAGGTAAAGACTTATTACACACAACAGTGCATCACAGGTAATCTGTCTCACATGTGAAGATGCCTTAAAGGTAAAGATAACTTGCAGGTAAAGGCATTTCACAGATAAAAATGCCTTACAGATAAAGACATTTTACAGGTAAATATGTACTTGTGTGGTTAAAATACCACACAGCTGAAATACTTAAAGATACATTTCAGATAAAGATACCTTAAAGGTAAACATGCCTTATAGGTGTAGATGCCTTAGGTGAAAATATCTTACAGGTGAAGATGACTTTGACCGTTGATGCTTCACAGGTAAAGATACTTTACAGGTATAGTTGCCTTACATGTAAATACACCTTAGCAGTATATATACACCTTATAGTCAAAAATGCCTTACAGTCAAAGATGCTTTACAGGTAAAGGTGCCCTAAAGGTAAAGACACTTTACAGGTGAAGACGCATTGCCGGTACAAATCCCTTACAAGTGAAGATGCCTTACAGACAAAGATGCCTTACTGGTATCAATACCTTACATATAAAGATGCCGTCATGGTATAAATGCCTTACAGGTGAAGGTGTCTTACTGGTATAACTGCCTTACAGATAAAGATGCATTACTGCTATAAATGCCTTACAGATATAGATGGCTTACTGGTATAAAAGCCTTATAGATCAAGACAGTTTACTAGTATAAATGCCTAGCAGATCAAGATGCCTTACTGGTAAATATGCCTTACAGCTGAAGATACCTTTAAAGTAAAAATGCCTTACGGTCCATCCAGACTACAGCAATTTAGCCCCGCCCATTCAGCCTACAGCAGTGTAGCTCCACACATTAAGTCTACAGGTATTTAGCTCCACCCATTCAGTCTACAGCAGTTTAGCCCCACCCATTCAGTCTACAGTAGTTTAGCCCCACCATTCAGTCTACAGCAGTTTAGCTCCACCATTCAGTCTACAGCAGTTTAGCTCCACCATTCAGCCTACAGCAGTTTAGCTCCACCTATTCAGTCTACAGCAGTTTAGTCCCGCCCATTCAGTCTACAGCAGTTTAGCTCCACCCATTCAGCCTACAGCAGTTTAGCCCCACCCATTCAGTCTACAGCAGTTTAGCCCCGCCCATTCAGCCTACAGCAGTTTAGCTCCACCCATTCGGGCTACAGCAGTTTAGCCCCACCCATTCAGCCTACAGCAGTTTAGCCCCGCCCATTCAGCCTACAGCAGTTTAGCTCCACCTATTCAGTCTACAGCAGTTTAGTCCCGCCCATTCAGTCTACAGCAGTTTAGCTCCACCCATTCAGCCTCCAGCAGTTTAGCTCCACCTATTCAGCCTCCAGCAGTTTAGCTCCACCCATTCAGCCTACAGCAGTTTAGCCCCACCATTCAGCTACAGCAGTTTAGCCCCACCATTCAGCTACAGCAGTTTAGCTCCACCATTCAGCTACAGCAGTTTAGCTCCACCATTCAGCTACAGCTGTTTAGCTCCACCCATTCATCTTATCAATGCCTTGCAGATAAAGATGCTTTACTAGTATAAATGCCTTGCAGATCAAGATGCCTTACTGGTAAATATGCCCTAAAGGTAAAGATATCTTACAGGTAAAGATGCCTCACAGGTATAAATGCCTTGCAAGTAAAGGCATTTTTACAAAGGTAAAACTGTCTTGCCTACAGGCAAAAGTACATGCATAAAATCATCTCTCATGAGGGCTAAACACAGACGTACGTCTGTTTATCTGTTCTTCCATAATATCATATCTTATCTTCTTATTGTGACTTTGGTGTACTAAGTGTCCTTTGACTGTCAGGCTCTACCAGCTGAACTCATTCTGTTATTAATTAACAGACTTTTTCACAGTGTTTCCTGTTGGTATCTCCCCGTGTTTGGGCTCTGTCCTAATTCCGAGCTCCTGGTCTCACCTTAGAGTCTGTGCCGATCGGCCGGCGGCATTCTGTGCAGGTGTTGGCGCAGAACTTCTCGAAGCAGCGCACGCAGACGGGCTTGTCGTCCTTTTTAATGTACTTCTTGCCCCCGAGGTCCTCGCGGCAGTAGAAACAGTCGAATCGGTCCGTCATGGCGGCTCTGCAGACGGACGGAGAGGAAAGAACGACTGTTAATGATCACATCTGGGCTATAAAGGAAGGTCAAGGAAGCGACATCACTTCAGCCTGGTGACCTAATGCCTGATTACACTGTGACTCATTTTTCCAGGTCGGTTGCTGCAAAAGCGTTTCTCTCTCACTCCCACAGTCGGTCTGAGCGACAAGCTGAGAAACGCCCTGGGAAGCAGCGCCAAGAGCCTTTCATTGATAAGAAAGTGTTTGTTCCTCTTTTATTGCAACGCACAGACAAGTAAAACATCACTCATGACTGACTGCCTCTGTGGTGTAACTACAGGCAACAAAAAGTAAACAGAAGGTACACAGATCGGCTCGACCTGAGAGCAGGAAGTGTTCACTAGAAACACAGCAGAGGAGAGAACTCAGTGAGTGTATTAAAGGGCCCACATCAGAGAAAACTCTGAGCTGAAGTATGTAAACATAGCCATTTATGTTTAGCCCCGCCCATTCAGTCTACAGTAGATTAGCCCCACCCATTCATCCTACAGCAGATTAGCCCCACCTATTCATCCTAGAGCAGATTAGCCCCACCCATTCATCCTACAGCAGATTAGCCCCACCTATTCAGCCTAGAGCAGATTAGCCCCCCAGTCATTTTACAGCAGATTAGCCCCCCATCCATCGTACAGCAGTTTAGCCCCACCCATTCAGCCTACAGCAGATTAGCCCCACCCATTCAGCCTACAGCAGTTTAGCCCCACCCATTCATCCTACAGCAGTTTAGCCCCACCTATTCAGCCTACAGCAGATTAGCCCCCCCATTCAGTACAGCAGTTTAGCCCCACCCATTCAGCCTAAAGCATTTTAGCTCCACCCATTCTGCATTCAGCAGTTTAGCCCCACCCATTGAAACTACAGCACTTTAGCCCCACCCATTCGGCCTAAAGCATATTAGCCCCACCCATTCTGCATTCAGCAGTTTAGCCCCACCCATTGAAACTACAGCACTTTAGCCCCACCCATTTGGCCTAAAGCATATTAGCCCCACCCATTCTGCATTCAGCAGTTCAGCCCCGCCCATTCAGCCTACAGCAGTTTAGCCCCACCCATTCAGCCTAAAGCATTTTAGCCCCACCCATTCTGCATTCAGCAGTTTAGCCCCGCCCATTCAGCCTGCAGCAGTTTAGCCCCACCCATTCAAACTACAGCACTTTAGCCCCACCCATTCAGCCTACAGCAGATTAGCCCCCCATTCAGCCTACAGCAGTTTAGCCCCACCCATTCAGTCTACAGCAGTTTAGCCCCACCCATTCATCCTACAGCAGTTTAGCCCCACCCATTCATCCTACAGCAGATTAGCCCCCCCATTTATTGTACAGCAGTTTAGCCCCACCTATTCAGCCTAAAGCATATTAGCCCCACCCATTCTGCATTCAGCAGTTTAGCCCCATCCATTCAGCCTTCAGTGGTTTAGCTCCACCCACTGAAGCTGAAGTTAATGTTTCAGGATGGATTGCTATTTGAATGATGCTCAATACAGAACAACTCAGAGCTCATTTACATATATCAGTCTTAAAGGCACAGCAACAAAAACAGCCTGTTTAATCAAGAGAGGTTAGATATGAGGTTAAACGTTCATGTACAAAATATTTAAGACTGTAAATCTGTATAATTGATTCTTTCAGAGATGGGACAAGTTTTTCAGTAATTCGTTACCAGCACAGTGGTGTGAGCAGAGGCTCACATGCTCTGCCCTGCTAAAGTAACCGGAACTACTTTTTTCCGTTTTGCTCTGGTGTGGTAAAGACAGATAAAACCTCATAGGAGCAGCTTTAGTGAGAACATTCTCCCAGTCTGTCTCCTCATCACACCATTTACCAGAACTCAGCTTTGACTTCTACATTACAGTGAGTTTAGAGTCAGTGAGTTTAGAGTCAGTGCATTTAGAGTCAGTCAGTTTGGAGTCAGTGAGTTTTCTGCTATTTTCTAAGTTCAGTGAGACGTGTTGAAGTTACTGTATGTGATAATAAACTGTACGATACACATATAGCAGATAGAGATCAGGATAAAACCAGTAGAATATTCCTTTAAGAATAAAGGCAGTTTGCCATGGAACTATGGAGCCCCGCCGCCTCCTCTAACTGAATCAGTCCGTCCATTTATCAGGTCTAATCAAATAATACAGTGCAAGAGCTCAGGAAATCAAACAGGATGCTGAGTAAGTGCAATTATTTGATATAAAATAGATTACATGCAAACATCTGGTTTTATTAGATCATCTGGACCATTCTGTCTGTCCATTCACCCACAGGAATAAGATCAGACAGAGAAAAGAGCCGGAGCCCTGAGAGCAGCAGGACCTATGAGCGTTTGTTTTGAATATATATATATATATATATATATATATATAATTGATATATATATATATATATATATGATATATAATATATATATAGATGATATATATATATATATATATATATATATGGAACATACTATTATTGCAAAACTATATATATACACGCACTATACTATAAATATATATACGTACAAAATAATGTGGCATATTATTATTACATATAGCTACTTACATACTCTATGATGGTTCTTCAAGCAAGTCTTGTCAATAAAGACAATGATTGCATATAGAACCATGGATGCTCAAAGAACCATTTGCATGGTTAAAGGGTTCTTTGCATGGTGAAATGGTTATTTACATTGAAATGGTTCTTCAGATTGAACCCTTTTTGATAAGGGTTATCTATAGCACCAAAGGGGTTCTGCTACTGTTATGACGTCAAGCTTGTAACAGTAGCAGAACCCTTTTTGGTGCTATATAGAACCATATACAACACATTCTCCATCAATCTGAAGAATAATTTCACCATGCAGAGAACCATTTAGACATGCAAATGGTTCTATGAGTGTTCATGGTTCTATATGGAACCATTGTCTTTACTAAAGAACCCTTGAAAAACCATCTTTTTTAAAAGTGTACTTATACACTCATATAGTGTTCTCTATAGCATCAAGAAGGGTTCTGCTGTTGTTAAGATGTCAAGTTAGTAACAACAGAACCATTTTTAGTGATATATAGAACCACACACAACACAGCATCTTTTTTAAGAGTGTGCTTATATATTGTATATATGAAACATTATTATTGCATGTAGATACTTAAATATATGTACTATAATCAGAGCATGTTATACACAACCAGTACATGAACTGACTAACATATACTAATATATACCTACATATAGGCCTTCATAACACATATGGGACATAATGCAGCAGCCTGACGGGACCTAAAAGCCGCCTGCGTGTGGTTTTGGCTGAATGGCTCTGAAATATGCCCGGAATGTGAGTGTGGTGAGCTGAGGAACGCTGACAGGTCTCTGACAGACAGAGAGGAAGCTGGCATGTTTATCTTCAATGGCCTCCAGTTTCAGCGCCATGCTGATCTGCAGACCTGCCAGATTCCTCACTTTCAGCTCAAGGCCCTGCGCTCTGTTAGCGCCGGGCACTACGTCAGCTAAACCAGTATACTGAAAAAATCAGGTTTTGTCAGTAATCCGATGAACACGTTTACATGCACTTCAGTGATCAGATAATGGGGAAACTCCGGATCTTTATAAGTCAGGCAGTAATCAGATTTCTGCTTTGCAACCAGCCAATAAACTTACAGAAGAAGACGTGACGTTTTACTTGAAATTATGAATCTTCTTATATCCTTTATGAATATTGTATCCTTTATATCCTATATCTATCATCTCGCAGCACTGCTGGGCCCACTGTCTGATCTCCGCATGCGCAGACTGAGAAATCCGAAAGAAATCAGAGTAAGAGTTTACATGCACTGAGAAATCTGATTACTGAGCTAAAATCCAGCCTCTTTGTCAGATTTCTTAATCGGATTTCTAGATCAGAGTATGGTGTTAACATGTTTACAATCAGATAACTGCCGAAATCAGATTATGATCGGATGATTGAGTGCATGTAAACATGCTCAATGTTGATGTTTATCAGTAGCGTCCAGCGCTCTGAACACATTACTGTGTCCAAAAGCGTTCAGGGATGAAAACTCTGATCCGTTTTCTCTTCCTGCGTCACATTCTAACGTCTGAACTGCTCGCTTTTATGAGCAAAGTTAGGTCAAACTTCACATAAAACCGTGAGCAAACATTTGAACAGTGGAAAAGGCCCCAAGACCCTCACTAAACTCCAAAAACATCTGAGTCCTCCCTGCAGGAGCCGAGCTCGCCGAGGCCCAGCGCCTCCCTCTGCTCTGCTCTCCGTTCTCCATGTTCTCCTATCTGCCGTGTTCCTCTTTATCAGCCTCACACAGCAGCACACACCTTCTTCTAATCTACACTGCGTCTCCTGTGAGGTTTCCTCACATCTGGCTTAAGAGGAATAAAAACAAACAAAAGCACAGACAAAATCCAGCGTTCAGCTGCTGCTGCTACTGTTATCAGCTATGCTAATGTACTTTAGTCCATGTTCATAGATAACAGTGAGTCAGAAACCACAGAATCAAGACTATCAGAGATACAGAGCACCTCCACACAGTTTGAGGTGGGTGTGTGATTTAGGCAGGCAGTTAGCGCCATGCTAACTGCTTATTTTATATATTTTACAGTAAACCGCTGTAGCTGCACTGTTTGACCCCTAAAATCTCAGTCTCAGTCTATATTAAAGCTTGTTATGCAGTAACTACAGGGACCTCAGTGCAAACTGGCTGAGCTGTTCTTAGATTATAGAGGTGTGTAATAAACTGGGCCTGTTAGGAGGTGAAGTGGATTTGAAGTTCATCCAGAACGAGGGCAGTGGTTTGATGTGTCAGATGGATGATTATATTGCCATCTTTCGCCTTATTATAGTACAATATTGTACATTATAGTAAATTAGCACAAAAAAAAGGGCAAATCATTTTACATGACATCATCGGTCGCGTCACATATACGCTGCTTAAAACCCCCTGCTTAGAACACCTTCCTGCATCCCTGTTTGTACGAAGCT